CATCGTGGCTTGCCCTGCCAGTGTTGGTGGAAGGGTTTTTCTTTTTGGTAGCTCCTTGATTGGGGTATAGTGTGTTTTTTTTGTTGTTGTTTTTGTTTTTTGGCTTTGATATTAATCCTGAATGTTAATTTCTGCTTTTTTTGAGTGTTGATGGCTGGTGATGAAATATTTTGGTCTTTTTGTTTCCTGTTTAGCTTTCTGACCGTGTACAAATAAATTTCCCTCCTTCCCACCCTGAAACTACTACTTATTTATTAGTATCCCGCCTTTATTATTTTTATAAATAATTCAAGACGGCGAGCATATTGAACATAACTTCATCCTCCTATTTTCCCCACAACAACCCTGTGAGATGGGTTGAGCCAAGACACTGACTGGCCCAAAGCTTTCGTGGCTAAGGTGGAATTTGAACTCAAAATCTTTTTTTTCTAGCCTGGTGCCTCAACCACTAGGCCAAACTGGCTCATTACAGTAACCTATAGCAACTATCTAATAATATGGTTTATTTTCAGCACAAACAGTCAAAACAATGCAATGATATGATTATGTTTCTTACCTAATAGCACCACAAAGTCTTGGAAGAGTGAATATTGTCACCCACTGACACGTCACCACTTGATACTTTGAATGATATTCCCTTGAAGGGCAATTAGCTGAAAAACCCTCTTACAAGAGTAACTCTGCCAGATGCAATTTTTCAAAAAAAAAAGTCTAAATGTGCATTTTTATGAAGGTGATTTAAGTGTGGCTTCTATTTAAGTACCATTTCACTAATATTTTTTTATTCTTATTGTAAATTTTTAACTTCGGAGAGCACAAAAACAGAAGTAACTTCAGAGCGATAACTGGTTTATTTGTATCAGATGGTAGACAATGTAGGGAAATGTGAACCAAAGCTATAGATTATTTTAAAAGTATTTTGGTGACTGCTCTGGAGCAATGTCCCCTCGACATACAACAGGCGCCAATACTATTCACATTTAGGAAAGTGGTTAAGAGCTGGCTCTTCCACCAGGAACAAGGAAAACAGAATAAGAGATGCACCTTTGGGTGGTTCTGTTATGTACTGGTCGCCATTTTATACTTTATACAGGTTATCCTCAATTTACAACCACAATTGAACCCACAATTCCAGTCATAAGTCATGATGGCGGTAAAGCAGGTTACCACATCACCTTATCTGATTTTATGACCATTTTTGAGGCAGTTATTCAGTGAATGGTAGTTATGTGAATCCATTCTTCACTATGTTTTTTTTTTTGCCAGAAACGAGGAGTAAATGTTGGTTTCCATCAAAAAGGTAAACAGCCAGAAAAGTTGGTTTTCTTTTATTTATTGCTTGTTTTTATCCTGTAAGTTATTCAGAGTTACATTGTTTGGGATGCACAGGATTATACATTTTGGAAATAAGTAAATAAACAATTCTGTTTTGTTTATGAGCCTCATTTCTAAAAAATAATTCAACCAGAGTACAAAAGTGATAAAGTGAGCTGAATCAGTCTTTCTTTTTTCTTTCTGTTGTTATTCTGGTTTTTTTTTCCTATTCATCCATGGATAAAACTTTAACTTTTTCTAGGTAGGATTTTTTAGATATTATATATGTGAACACACACATAATGTATAGGTGTGAACGTATGTTTATTTATAGAATTGCGTGTGAATATTTATTTATTTTCACATCAAATTTCTGTGTGTGATTGTCCATTCTGCTGCTTAGATCATACACCTAGATCCATAAAATAAAGACTTTCAATAATGTAGAATGGTCTCTTCTTCTACCACAGAATATTACAGAACAATCACAACATTCTCGAAACTTTATAGATGTAGTAATTTACCATTTGTACTTTATACTATTTTGGAAATTTCCCATTTTTGTTTTTCAAGGATCTCCCTTTGCTCATTTAGTTGAAAAACTGATAGAAAATATGTTCTGGCTTCCCAGAGAAGATTAAACCATAATGCATGGTTGTAAAACTTTTTATTGAGCTTACTCAGGTGGAAGAATATATAAGTAGCAATTATAGCAACCGCCTATTTCAATTTGCCAAATGTGGATTAAAATGTATGCCAAAGTCTAAGGAACAGTGTTTCCAACAAGATTTTTATTTCATCTTAATAAATAATTTTCCTGACATAGTGTTCTGAGGATAGACTTTCAAAGCAATCTTCCCAAGCATTTTTCTTCATATATTTAAGTCTTACAGCCTGCAGATTATATTCCATAAAATAAAACTGAACCTTGAGAGACATGGTGGAAGTACAAAACAGAACCTTCCCAGTAGAGCATGTTGGTTGTGGTACGCCTTTCTTCTCGTGCACTTACATTTATTCTGCAACTGTGGAATATCTGACTATTCAATGCTGATTATAATTTATCTTTTTTGTTGGCTTACTGTTGTACTGCGTTATGACCCAGGTGGTCAAGGCAATGCAGGCCTTCAGAGAGTCCTTTTAGTGCCCTCAAGAAGTGTTTAACAACTGGTCTTCCAATGACTAGTAAGACTCTACCCCTATTCTTCAGACTCTACTCTGAAGGCAGCCACCTCAGTCCCCCAAACAACAGCCCATATATTACCAGGAAAATCCACAAGGCAAAGTCCAGGCATAAAACATGTGGCAGTCCTGAAAGCAAAGACAGGGTACAAGGCAGTGGTGGGTTGCCTCCGGTTCGCACCAGTTCTATAGAACTGGTAGTAAAACCGGTAGGAGGCTCCGCCCACCGACCCTGACATCGTCAAAATGCTTCTGCGCATGCGCAGCCCCATTGCAAACCGGTAGTAAAGGTAAGTAGAACCCACCCCGGTACAAGGCAAAGGCAGTTCTGAAGGTAAAGCAAAGCAAGTGGCAAAAGCAGTCCAAAGGACTAGGGTAAGACAAATGGCACAGCAAAAAGCAGTCCTCGAACCAAGGCAAAAAGGCCCAAGTCAAAGCTGGGGGAGTATAATCCAAAACAAACATTTGTTCCTGGCAAAGACTAATTCCCCATGGCTTCTCCTTAAATTACTCCACTCCAGGTGTTCCTTGTGAGGAGAGATGGGGTGACCTCCTCCTGAGTAGCCTTGCAGCCCTTTTCTGAGCTTGCCTATTCTCCACTCTCCATGCCCTTGGATGGAGTGGTGGAGGCAACTGTTTTTCATCAGAGGAGATCTGCTGCTTATCAGTACCACTGCCTATCAGCAGGCAATCCTCCCCTGTGTCTGTAGAGGCAGCCAGCCAGTGGTGGGCTGCTGCCAGTTCAGACCGGTTCAGACGAACCGATAATTCCAACAATCAGCTGGCCCTGTCCACCCACCCCTTCTCTATCCTGTCCTATATTTCCTTCTTTCTGGCTCAGCTGATTCACGCGGTACAGCTGATTTCCATGCCTCTGCTGTTCTACTTATCAGGGCTGCCTTAGAAGGTAAGCAGCTGAACTTCAAATTGCTATATTTTGAACGCTGTGCGCAAGCGTGTTAGGCACGTGCTCACAAAATTGTTTGTTAAACCGGTTGCAGTCCAGCACTGCAGACAGCTCTCCTTCTGGTCGACCACGTTTCCCAATGCCTGAGGGACAGCATCGTTGTCAGCCCTTGACCTCTCCAAACATGCCAAGTGAGAGGTGCCACCCCTGTCAGATGGCCCCGGTTCCAACTCCTCCTCCTCCTCAGAACAGGACTCCGATGGGACCATGACATACTGTAGTTTTATTATTTGCATCCTACCCTGAGAATCATGGTGGATTGGAAATAGCTATAGTATAACTATAGTATAGTATAGTAAATACAAAAGGGGCTGCCACAAAGAAGAGGGAGTCAACCTATTCTCCAAATCACCTGAACCTAGGACAAGAAACAATGGATGGAAACTAATCAAGGAGAGAAGCAACCCAGAACTAAGGACAAAATTCCTGACAGGTAGAACGATTAATCAATGGAACTCCAGAAGTTGTGAATGCTCCGACACTGGAAGTTTTAAAGAAGTGATTGAATAAACACTTGTCTGAAATGCTATAGGGTTTCCTGCCTGAGCAGGGGGTTGGACTAGAAGATCTCCAATGTAATGGGAAAGGAAGAAATGAACCAGATGGAGGTAGCAGAATATTCATACCATTCTTTCTTCAGGAAGTGGTTTATGGAGCAGAAAGTTTGCAACTACTGCTTCAATAAGGCCACCAAAATCTAAAACAGGGGTGTCAAGCTTGATTTCATTGAGGGTTGTTTTTGACTTTGGGGTGCTGGGATGGGTGCGGCCAGGGTGGGCATGGCCAGCTCAATGTGTTGGGGGCGCCTGTGATGGCCCGAGCACTCTGCCATTGAAAACGGGCTCCCGAGCTGTTTTGGGCTGCGCCAGCCTCCTACAACCCTCTGCCATGAAAACGGAGCTCAGGAGGGCCGCCCCTGGCCATCCTGAGCTCTGTTTTTGCTGGCAGAGGTACCACGGGCTGGTCCCATGGGCCAGATCTAAGCACCCCACAGGCCAGATCTGCCCCCCGGGCCTTGAGTTTGACACCCCTCATCTAAAAGATTCTGGAATAATTGCTTTTGGAGTAACAAGAGCTTTGTCTGCCTTCCATGATTTTCATTAAGTTGATCTGCAGAATCAAACTGACATTCACATCAGGACTGCTTTCTCCTCTTTATAAGGATGTTTATAGAAATAGATAAACTGTTGCACCAAATGCAATCAAATGCAATCAAAGAATTATATTACCTAACTAACCAAGTTACTTCTTGAATTGGATAATAGTTTTTATCCAATAGTTTTTATTTGCACGAGTTTATCCACTGTCTTCAAGAATGCTGTGGTATTTGCTTTGTCTCTTTGTAACATGATATAATAAAAAGTAATTAATTATTAGGAACAGTTCTCTCTCATTCGATCTTTTTTAGGGTTTCTTGTTTTGACGAGAAAGAAGGAGTATTTGGAGAAAAAAAAATGCCTTAAGTAGTTCTCTCCCCTTCTTAAAATGCAGCATGCTAAAAAGAATAATTTAGAAAATCAGATTAACTGAGACTTACTTTGCTTTTGCTTCAGCATCCTCATATGCTTTATTGGAAACATCATCCAGGCCTCCAATCAAATGTTTGAAAGAGCTGTAAAATTAAGACACAATTTAAAGAAAATGTTTCTGATATAACTTGAAGAGTTGTGAACATTCTCTGTTGTGCAAGGTCTGCCTAAGATCTTATAAAACACCATGACAAAACACAAGGGGTGGGCTTAAAATTTTTTAGCAATGGGTTCTCTGCCTGGTTGCTGGTGGGCGTGGCCATGGTGGGCGTGGCTTAGTTGGCCTCCTGCACCATGGTGGAGGGGGAGCTTTTGCCCTCTTCGGGCTCTGGAGGCTCTCCTTGAGCCTCAGGGAGGGGCAAAACAGCCTCCCCAAGCTCCAGAGGCCCTCTGGAGCCGAACTTCCGGTAGGCCCATTTTTTGCCCTCCCCGAGCCTCCGTGCACATCCTGCATCCAAACGGACCACATGGGGATTCCTGGGATGGGCGAGGCAGGGGAGTGGGACCAGCCAGGAGTGGAATTTGGGGGTTCTCCGAACTGCACAGAATCTTAGTTAGAGGTTCTCTCAAACCCCTGTGAACCCCCAGCAGCCCACCGCTGAAAATACTGTGACAAAACACGCATGTGCACCACAAACAGATTTCCATGCCAATGATTTTGATTCAATGTCTATTTCCCATAAACAAAAGGCTTCCATTTGACCATGAAATCATAATTAACATTGATTTTATTACTATTTTATTCACTTATTTCATTTTTATCCCATCACAACCCAAAACAATTTCTGAAAGTTAAGTTAACTCAGTGTCCTTTTGCGTAGAAGACTTAGAGTTTTTCAGCAGGTGAAAGAGGGAAGATATAACAATAGTTAATAAATAACAGTTTTTCAGCATATGGAAGAGAGAGGTGATATAATAAATAGAGAACAATAAATAGTAAATAATTTCAGCCAGCATACAAGTTTAATGTATTATTATGATTCGGCAATCCAGTCTAAACATCTGGATGACTGTGCCACCAATCATCATCATCATCATCATAAAAATAAATAAAAGTTAAAATAAACAAATAAGAAATGAAACTTGAATGCTACCCAACTCCTTGTAGTCTTTGCTGATTGCCATTCTATTCCAAATTACCGTGACTGAGGAAAAAAAAGTATTTTGGAATATATCTAAAATTGAGATAGCAAAAAACCCGAGGTATCTTCTTCAAGTAACTAATTGTCTTGTTTTCTCTGCTCTGAACAGTGGTGGGTTGCCCCCGGATCAGACCAGTTCGCAAGAACCGGTAGTAAAACCTGTGGGAGGCTCCGCCCACTGACCCGGATGTCATCAGCGACCGTGCACACGCGGCCCTGTTTGCGAACCAGTAGTAAAGGTAAGTAGAACCCTGGCTCTGAGGTTTAATTTCCTCTAACAAAGGAGCAGAATGCATTTTGAGAGGTCTTTGGTGGTCTCTGAAGTTGGTTGTTTTCCTACAGAGGTTTCATAACCAAACTAGGTAACATCATTGCTAGAGTGTTAATGACTTTAGCAATGAAACATCTGCAAGAAAACAGCCAAGCTCAGAGAGCACCAAGGACTCCTCATTTTAACCCTGAGGTACAAATATTTTCCTTTATGCATAGAATGCATTTTACTAAAGATGATTTTACCTAATATTCATTCAATAAATATTAAGTTTCTGAATATTTGGACAGCATCAACTATTATTTCATCCCCATAACTTTGCCCCATACACAAACTTTTCCTCCTGAAATAATTGGAGAACAAAGACTATTAACTGCCTCTTACTCCTTTTTAGCAACATTTAAATTCTCTTTTGCCCATCGCATGGGAGAAAGACAATACATTACAGGTTACTTCTAAGATAAATATTACTGGAATAAGGCACCTAAATACATAAGATATGTCCTTATTCTATTTGCTGAGCATTAATTGTCCATCTATGCTTGGTGCTTTTATTGCAGAAGACTTTCACTTGTCATAAGTGATTGGCGTTTCCTTTCTCCCAATAATAATTACATCTAAGCATCTTCCAGCCAAAATCTGTAAGGTAAAAATGCTGCATCACTGAGAAACATCAATATGTGGATTTTGTGTCCTGTGAGGGAGAAAAACATTTTATGTCCCGACACAATAATTAATATGAAATTAAAGAGAGTAGTTCTGTCTGACACCACTTTTTAACAAAATAAGGTCAGATCAAGATGTTTATTGATCCATCTTCACCTTCACATTAGAATGCAAGTCAAGCATTAGCTTAGGCCTATCAGTATCAGTTGTCTTCAGTGGTGAAATTTAATTTTCTTTACTACCGGTTCTGTGGGCGTGGCTTGGTGGGCGTGGCAGAGGAAGGATACTGCAAAAATCTCCATTCCCACCCCACTCCAGGGGAAGGATACTGCAAAATCCCCATTCCCACCCCACTCTGGGGCCAGCCAGAGGTGGTATTTGCCGGTTCTCCGAACTACTCAAAATTTCCGCTACCAGTTCTCCAGAATCTGTCAGAACCTGCTGGATTTTACCCATGGTTGTCTTACATTTTCCCCACAATGTAACTTATCAATAGAATAAAAAATGCATGTAAAATCAAGAACCAAAGGGCCACTACTATATTTATGGATCATGACTTTTAAAGCTATACAAAGATGCATTCCACAATGGTCCTTATAAAAGCCAGGCTATTTTGAGTAAGGTTTTCCTTCCTCTGCATAGACCTCTAATTTGTTTAAAAGCTTCTGAGGGCATAGTTCGGAGAAAACATACACAAGGCTAAAGGGGTAATAATTAAAAGATTACAATTTATTGTACTTCTAGTTAAACTGCGTAAATAATTGCCAATAATTGTGTCTAATTGCCAAACTTCCAAATATTTCACACTAATTTAGATGAATAAGTATTGTCAGTTTTCGAACAGAATGATGCACTTAGTATATAGGGCCGTGATGGCGAATCTATGGCACACGTGCCACAGGTGGCACGTGGAGCAATATCTGTGGGCACTTGAACATTGCCCTAGCTCAGCTCCAGTGTCTATGCGCGTACTGGCCATCTGATTTTCGGGCCTTTTGGGCCCACCGGAAGTCGGGAAATGGGACGTTTCTGGCCTCTAGGGGGGTGGGGAAGGCCATTTTCACCCTCCTCAGGCTCCTAGAAAGCCTGGGGAGCCTGGGAAGGGTGAAAAATGGGCCTACCTGGCCCACCGTGCCATTGCATGCCAAGAGCGGGGGGGGGGTCGCACACACATGCAGGGGGGGGCGGGATGCATTGAATTATGGATGTGGGCACACGTGAGAGAGACCCCCATCGCGCTCCCCCCACTTTTGGCATGCGACGGCAAAAAGGTTAGCATCACTGATGCTACACTATAGGGTATCAAAAATTGTTCAGAGGAATGTTTCAAATGAAGCAACATCATGACTGGTGGTGCAGTGGTTAGAATGCAGTATTGCAGGCAAACTCTGACCACAGTATGGAATTTGATCCTGATGGGGCTCAAGGTTGACTCAGCCTTCCATCCTTCTGAAGTCGGTATTTTGGGGGCAATATGCTGATATTGTAAGCTGCCCAAAGAGTGCTGTAAAGCACTATGGGGTGGTATATAAATCTAAGTGCTATTGCTATCTTGACTCAAATATCCAAGTGGATCTCAAAAGATGGTCAATGCAGTTTCAAGGGCTTTTTTTTTTTTTAATTTGATTTATATGCCGCCCTTCTCCAGAGACTCAGGGCAGCTTACAATGCGTTAAGCAATAGCCTTCATACTTTTGTATATTTATACAAAGTCAGCTTTGAAGTGCTCATATAGGTACCTCTTTAATAATCTTCTCAGAAACTGGGAGTGAAGACATTGGTTTGATAAAATTCACAAGCTTGGAAAATCTTTGTATCCTTTCATGATCAACAAGATGGAGAGCTAGCTCCCCGTCTAGGAAAACATTGTTAACAAGAGAATAAAGATATACTTTTAACACTAAAAAAAAAAAAGTATGACCTGTCAAAATTCTCTCACTTAATTTCTTTTCCATAAATCTAGTTAAAGAAGTCTCTGTGAGAATCTTGCTTTCAGGCCTAATCAGCTATTAAGAGGCTAAAAGCATCATTTAAAATACTTTAGGACTGTTGATTTGCACTTGAATACTTTAGATGACACAATGTCTCATCAATGTTTCTCCTAGTCCTATTACTAATCACATGTATATGTTCTGATCCTTAATTTGTAGGCTACGCCAACACTGAATGAATAGTTAATTCCTTATGAATAACTGAGTGAATGGCTGAAAAACAATGAAATTGAGTCTCAGCTAGAATTGTACGTGTAAATATTTATTAAAGCATGAAAGGGTGTTTTCAATCTTCTACAAAATATCAAGATCAGTTTCCATTCATTGATCAACATAATGATAAAATGTTCATATTTGATTGATTAATTATTTATTTAGCCTATGGCAAATGAGTTAATAACATATTATAAAGAAGAAATGAAAAATAATAGATGTATATCTGACAAAATTAGCTTTATCAGGTAAATTGAATAGTTAGTTGCTAATATTGCTAGCCAAAATAGGATGCTTCTAATTATCAGCAGACAATTAGTTTTCGATTTTCATGTTTTTTTCAACATGAAGAAGAAATGAGGAAATGACAGGAATAAGAGCTAGAAAAGTGCACTCTTAAGATACAGAGAAAAGTAAAAATACTGACAAATTGAAAATGATTGCTGGTGGCTTTGTGGCAATAGGTTATGGAGGTAGTTTTCTATTTCAGGATGTAGGCTACTCAGAATAATTTTGGAAGAGATAATGATTCTGAACCTAGCACTCTTTTACTCAGAAGAAAAATGTAATAGCAATAGCACTTAGACTTATATACCGCTTCACAGTGCTTTACAGACCTCTCTAAGTGTTTTTTCAGAGTCAGCATATTGCCTCCAACAATCTGGGTCCTCATTTTAGAGACCTCAGAAGGATGGAAATCAAGCTTGAGCCACTCAGAATCAAGCTCCTGACAATGGACAGTGAGTTAGTTTGCAGTACTGTATTCTAACCACTGCACCTCCACAACTCTTATTGCAGCT